TCGGCTGCTGTGGCATCGGGGTGGGGGACCTTAGAGCAGAAACGCGGCAGGTGTGCATTTTTGGGGTTGGCGAATAGGTCAATGGAGTGGGGCCCCCAGCGACGCTCGAGGAGGCGAAACCATGGGAACTTCAACGAGTAGTCATTGTGGTCGACTAGCTTGGAGAGCTCGTCTGCGCGACCATTCAGATCGCGTGGGATCCATTCGATGATTAGCCGAATCTCGAACTCCATGCATTTTTGGATGATGCCTTTGCACGTGGTGGTGAGGTCGGGACTTCGGGAACCTCCTTTGCGAAGGATGAAGAACACGCCCTAGTTGTCCACCCGCACTAGCACGTGTTTCTTCCGGATTCTAGGCGCGTACGTCTGTAGCGCCCACAGCACGCCGGCGAGCTCTCTTTGTGTGCTGGAGGTTGGATGAAGGGCTCCGGGCATTGCCGCGCTGGCCTCTATCGCGGCTCCAGGGAATGTGTTCAGCGTGGCACCCCAGCTGTGGGCACTTGCGTCTACGTGGATGACTGCATCGTAGCTGTGCCGCACATGGAACGGGGCACCGTTGAAACGGTCGAACTCTTGGATCCAGAATCTCAGCTCTTCGATGGCGGGTGGGGAGAGGATGACCATGCTGGTCCATGTCGGCGCGTCGTTGATTGTTTCTAGCATGGCGTGGCTGAACGCTCGGGTGGTGGTGCCGAGTGCGACAGCCATCGATGCCAGCATGCCTGTAACTCGGGCCAGTTGCCGGACTGGGACTTTCCGCTGAGCTGAGCTTGCGCGCAGTAGGGCATGGAGGGTGGCGTTGAGTGTGGCTCGCCGCTCCTCGCCGATGGAGAACCGGCCGGCCTGTGTGTCAAGTTCTACGCCAAGGAACCGAAGGTGCTGTGTTGGTATCAGCTTTGACTTTTTTGAGTTGAGTACGAGCCCGGCAGCCTTGAGATCGATAACGATCCGTTGGCACGTGGCTTGAGCGTGTGCCTGGGTCGGGCACAGAAAGAGGATATCGTCCATGTAGGGTATCACGTGGACCCCCTGCTCCCGCCATCGCCGAGCTAATTGCTTGATGAGCTACGTGAAGACGAATGGTGCTGTGGCGAGGCCGAACGGCAAGGATCGGAAGGCTTATGTGCACCCGTCGAATTCAAAGCCGAGGAACGTCCAGCACGAGGGATGGATGTCGACATGGTGATAGCCTGATTTCAAGTCGATGGAGAACATCCAATCTCCTTGGCGGGCGAGGTCCGCTACGCGGTTGAGTCCCTCATATTTAAATTTGGGGACGATTATTGCGTCGTTCACCTTTCGGAGATCCAGAATCAGGCGACACTTGTCTTTCTGCTCGACCACGTTGAGTGGGCTTATGCATCTCAGTTTCGCCGCAGGAATTTGGATGGCCGCGCCGGTCTCGGTGAGTTCAAGGATGGCCGTGCGCGTGAATGCTTCGTGGGTGCGTGCGCCGGCATGGTTGCGATCGTGAAAGGCCGGCGGCGGCCCGAGTTTCCATGGCATCCAGTATCCTTTGGCAATGACTGAGAGGATGAAACTGCTAGTGCACCACGAGCTCCACCAAGCGAACGTGGTACGTAGGCGGCCACGCATTTTGGTGACCATCTTGTCAGTAACCGCGTATTCGTAGGGGTCACTGTTGTGAGCGCATTCGCGAAGTCTGGTGCCTGTGGGAGTGCCATTATGCAAGGCGAAGCAAGGGACAAATACTTGAGTTCATCTGCAGGGCTGATGCCTGCCGGAAACCTAGAGCGTGGGGGGGGGGGAGTGTGAAGCCTAGTGGCTGAGGAGGGCGTGCCGGGTTGAGGTGCCACATGCGAGCAAGATGCTTAGGTCGGTGGTTGCCTGCGCTTTGAGCGGGTCTGAGCGGCGTGACCTGCGTGTGTGTCGGTTTGCACGCCCGCGCATGCCGAGCTTGCGTTCGAACCTGAGCCCCGACGTTTGCTTCCCCTTGTGCCCTCGTATTCCCACAACTTGTGCCTTCACTCGCGCTTCTACTCGCGAACGCATGTTACCCTCTTATTGCCTCCTTCGCTTGCGTTCTCATTTCTTGGGTTTTGAGATTCAATGCCCGTGTTTTTTCTTTCTTTCTTTCTTTCTTTCTTTCTTTTATGTCTTTCTTCTAGCCACCTCTTGTGTGCTTGTGTGGCATGCGTGCGGTGTTTTGTTGCTGTTCCCGTTCGTGGGCCATACCGCGTGCGTGCGCGCATGCTTATGTGACTCTTTTTTTCTTTTTCTTTTTTCTTTTTTTTCCAATGCCAAGCTGGGCAGCCCTAGATGAGGCTGGCGTGGCTGTTCCTGTATGCCCACGGAGGGGTAATGCGTAGGGTCCAGGGTGTAGCACACCGGGTTGGAGGGTATGCGCCTTGTAAGGCTCGCATAATGCTTGAATTCTTTTTTTTTTTTTTTTGCATGTCCAATCGGGGAGCAACTCTGTGTGGGTAAGTGGCGGGCCATTGGTGTTCCTGATGGCCTTCCTTCTCTGGCCGGGGGTGCTGCGTGACATGCAGCTGGGGTTGAGCCACCCACTATGCTTCCCCGTTCCGTGCTCAATCCCCCCCCCCCCTTTTTTCTTTTTTTTTTGCTGCGCCTCTTATGGTGCTGCTCCCCCATTTCTCTGGTTATATTAGGGAACCAAGACCTGAAAAAAAAATGAAGGACCGCGGCTCCTTATTTTAACCAAGCTTCATCTCTACTCAACCATGCTCCTAGGCATGCAAAGTCCGCCTTGCAAGGTCGGGCTATCATTTGGGACCGAGGGGGTATGTTCCCCTTCCCTTGCTCTGAGCCTAGGGCCTTCGATTGGCCTACACTAGGGCTGGCCCTCTGCCACCCGTGCCCCTAAGGGGTGTGCCCAATGGCCTACGCACACACCGGGTGCCTTGTGCCACTTGCGCAAGCGCCCATGGCCCGACCCCTACACCACTGGTGCGGGTCCTTGGACACCATGCCCAATCGCCGGGCAGCCGCTGGCCACATGCCCCGGCTGGCCACAGCGGAAGCAAGTGCCTCGGAAGCCACGGAATTCTCCCGTAGGCGGCGGACCACGCTTTGGCACGAACGGCATGGGCATGCGGCCGCCTCCGCGATTTCCACGAGCAAAACCGCCCTCGGCGCGGTCCATTGCGGCCACGTCAGCGATGGCCTGCTTGAAAGGCCTTGAGGTAAGCAGACTCTTCTGCTGGTACAGCTTGAAACGCTTGGCCGTGCGGAAGTCGGAGGCGTCTTCGACTTGGAGAACTTCGAAGCGTCGCGATACGAGGGCGAGCGCGTCGGCGAGGAATTCGAGGCCGCCCGGCGCGTCGCCGTGCTGCACCTTGAACTCAGCGTGCTTCAGGTATGCTCGAAGGTCCTCCAGGACTTCCGCTTGCTCGCGCACGGCCGCGTTGAGGAAAGACGCCGCCGAGAGGGTGGTGTTAGTGGACGGGAGTGGTGGGAGGTGCTCCATGGGAATTGAATTTGCAGCAGTGCCGGGGACCTCACTAGCGTCATTGTCGGAGTCGTCGCTGTCGTTGTCGGCCGCCGGGGCAGGCGGGATGCTGGCGACGGCGTCTTTGGCAAGGCGTGGCGTCTTGGTTCCGCGTGTGGCGTTTTCTGTTTTTGCAGGTTCTTTTTTAGCAGATTCAGAAGCAGCAGGTTGAGCAGTTTCGGCAGCCGTAACACTCGTCGCCTGCTGCTGTAACAGCGTCAACAGCGCGTTGACCTGCGCAGGGGTCAACGACGGGGTCAATGTCGGAGTGGGCGGCACGTCAGACGAGGCAGCCGCGCGCCCCTTTTTTCGCTTGCGAGAAGGACCCGCCACTTGCGAGGCTGGCGCGTGCTGCTGCTCGGCGTCAGGCGCGAGTGGCTAGCTCTGCCCAGCCACTTGCGCGTGTGGCTCAGAAGGGGGCGGGGGCGCGTCAGCAGGCTGACTGTTGACCTCACCCCCTCCCAGCAGAACGTCAACCCCAGTTGGGGCGGCCGCCCCTTCTTCTGCCCGACGCTTGTTGCGCCGGTCGCCCGCAATTTCCGGGGCTTGGCGAGTAGACTCGGAATTGGGGTGGCCGGTGACGACGTTGGACTCGCCGCGATTATTCGTAGTCGGAGCCATGACGGATCGGTGAAACTTAAAAATGTCGGAGTGAAGAGTCGAGGGAGACTCGCCGCGAGGCAAAGTTCTAGTCTTAGCCAGCTTGAACGGGAGAAAAGCTAGAGCGGGAAAGTTGACTGAACCGTTTGAAAAATGAGAGACGTGGGTGGAGGTAAATGAGCTCCAACCCTCGTATATGTAGTTGGAGAAGGGCGAGTAGCGCGCTTCGACGATGCCCAATGCTTTAGTACAATCAGCTTCGCTTTCACGATACACAATTTTTTAAAAACACTACGTGTGTTAAAAAATTATAATATTGTAACTTTGCCCTTCATAGCGTATTTTGTTAACCCTTGTACAAAAATTAAACTAAGGTGGCTCTATAGCCAAGGCTTTTCTCAGCCTGACCAATGTGTAGGTTGGGTAAAAGACATGCATTAGTAACCATAACAGAAAAACAGTCTCAGAACTGAGCTGCAAAGGTGAGGCCTGCACTATTGTGTTGTGTTCCATCCATACCCATAATGTATGGGAGCATAATGGGGAAAGAGCTTTTCATATAGAGAATGCTCAGTTGACATGCATTGTATAGTGTCCTTGTGTGACACCAGCAAGCGGGGACTGGTCAGGACCTATGAGCCATGGAAAGGGACAAAACCGTACAGTGCTTCATGTAACAGTTGTTGGCTCGCCCATCTCATGCCTGGTTTTGGCTGCTCGCTCAACGACGTTTCCTCCGTCACCGATTGGCTGCGACTCTGCGACAGCTGCAAACCATGCTGCCTGCAAAGGACTCGCGTGGCTCGCGATCAGATTCACGCGGCATTCAGGCGAGGCGAGTCAGGCGAGGCAACGCCTCCCTGAGGAAAAGTTCCTCCCTGCTCCCCCCTACCCTCTCCGTGCCTGTCTTCCATCATGCCAGCCACAACCATGCTTGCTCAACAAACTCGCACACACAGCCCACGCTCTCTGCTGCTGATCCCTTGCTCTCGCGTCTGGTGCTCTAGGTCGTTCTTGAGTCTGCTAGTTCCACCGAGTTCTGTTCGGTGTGTTGCCACGTGGAGATTAGTGAGCCAACTCCTGCCGTCAGTCTGCCTCAGGCTCGTTTCCTTGACCTCCCTCCGCGCTCACCTCCTTGGCTACTGTCGCTAGAATCTGTATTATGGCGGGCCGACTCTCGCACAAACCTCCAGCTCCACTCCAGGTAAGCTCCATCATCGCTGCTCCTTTTGTGTGAGTCGTTTTTCCTCCGTCTCCCTCCCCGCCTTCCTTGCTTTCCTATCGCTCCTTCACGTTCGTCCCGCCCTCCACGCCGTTTCCCACGCCAGACTCCGCCCTGGGCGGCGGGCCTGCGGGGAGGGGGAATGGAGGACGACGCGGAGCGACCGCGCGGAGTGCGCGCCTCCAGCGGTCGCGGGCTCCGCCGAGCTTCCACGGAGCGCGCAGCGACGATGGATTCGCTGCCGTCAGTCCTGCCGGTGGGTGCGGGCAATGCGGAGGAGCAGCGGTCTCCCAACGACTCGCAGGCAGCGTGGCCAGCAGCTGATTTTATTTCCGGCCCTTTTGACGGCAACGCGGCAGTAGAGCCGGTGAGCCGTCAGCGTGGCCCGTCCGGCGTGCCGCGGTGCTTGAGCTTCGACGGGTACCAGTCGCGCACGGCGGAGTCCACGTGGGCGAGCTCCGCCTGGGGGAGGGCGTATCTGGAGCGAGGCAGCCCGCGGATGCCCCGCGGGCATCGTGCCGTGCGCGGGAGTTTGAGCGCAGGCGCGGGGGGTTTGGGCAGTCTGCAGCGGGTAGAGTCGGGCAAGGTGGCGACGACGATTGTCCAGATCTGAGACGCCCCGCCGTGTGATGCGGGTCACGACTCAACTAACCGACGCGGCGCCACCGCAGCCGCCCTGAACCTGAATATAGGTGACTTTTGAGTCGACTCAAAAGCCGCCCTGAACCTGAATGTAGCTTGCGCGTCCGCGCTGCCTCCGCGGAAGGCTCCGCGCGTCTGACGCCTGCTGCTTGCGCCAACCTCATTTTTCCGCTATGGAGGCTCGGCGTGCTCCATTGCCCGACTGCTCTCCTTTCCATCTATTTTTCTAGAACTGCAAGGAAATGTATGCCTTTGCATGCTCAGTCATTATAATTGTTTGTTAGGTTACTTATACTTGTATGGTTTCCATTGAACACTATGCTCCAGCAATACTATATCATGTATGTTGGATCCATCTTTGCCTCACATGCTGACGCTTTCCGCCCCCCATCAAACGATTTCACATTTCGCGGTGTGGAGCATTCGTCATGCCGCCGCTTCCGTCGCCGCCAGATTCGGCGAAGCCTGTCGAGAATCCCTCAGCGGCGCATGCTTCCGACCTCACTGACCCCGCCTCCGCTCTCCCCGCCGACTCTCCCGCTCCCCCCGAAGCTCCTCCTGCGGCGAGTTCCAATCCGCCCGCCATGCCGCATTCCTCCTCCGCTACGGCCAGTGCCCCTGTAACGAATGCGCCTGTAGTGAGCGCTCCTCCATCGAATGCGTCTGTAGCGGGTGCGCCTGTAGGAAGCGCGACTGTAGCGAGCGCGCCTGCCGCGGGCGCGGCGGTGGCGGAGCAGTACCGCGCGCTGCTGGAGAAGGCGTGCGCCAAGTTCGCGCGGCTGCGCGAGCTGCCGCTGTACGGGCGGCAACGGTGGGAGGCGCGCTTCCACAAGGCGTTCAGCGTGTACTCGCGCCTCTGGCGCTTCCAGCAGGAGCACCGCGCGCGCCTCGTCGACCACGGGCTCAAGTATGCCACGCGCCGCGCCGCCCGCGATTGCGGTTCCGCCTTCCGACCGTGTCCGCGCGAAAGCTGACCCTCTCTCTCCTCCTTGCGCGCAGGCGGTGGGAGATCGGCGAGATCGCGTCGCGCATAGGGCAGCTGTACTACAACTACTACCTGCGCACGGGCGACGCGAGCTACCTGCTGGAGGCGTTCATCTTCTACGACGCCATCCACAGGTGGGCCTTCTACGACGCCATCCACAGGTGGGCCTTCTACGACGCCATCCACAGGTGGGCCCGTGAGATCGCATCCACAAGTTACCCCATCCTCGTCGCCCTGCCCCATCCTCATCGCCCTGCCCCATCCTCATCGCCCTGCCTTGCGTTCGTCCGCACGCGCTCCTTCATTCCCATGTGCCTGCTCGTGTGCCCAACTGCCCCCCGTCCCTTCCCTCCGCCCTTGCCTCCCCCCAGGCGCGAGTATTTCCGCGAGGCGGCGCGCGGGGATGCGGCGGTGGCGCACAAGCAGCTGCGGTGGCTGGCGCGGTTCACAGTGGTGTGCGTGCTGCTGGGGCGGCGGGAGATGCTGCGCCAGCTGCTGTGGCAGCTTAGGCTGCTCGTCGACGACTATGCGCGCGCCTTCCAGGTGCCGTGCATGCAGTGCTCGTGTGGCAGGCGCATGGTTGCACGTGCACGCGAAGGACCATCTGCCTGCCGAAATCCCTCCATGCGTCCTTGCCTGTCCGCAAGCACGGCCATGCGCATCCCAACATGCCTCCTCCTCTGCCTCCTGCTCCCCCATGCTTCCCCCCAGGCGGCGGACGCGGCGGAGTGGAAGGGCGTGGTGCACGAGGCGGTGCGCTTCCTGCGCGCCGACTGGCCCTCCGACTGCCCGCGCCCGCTGCGCTACTCCGTGCTGCTCGACCCACCGCCCGGCGCGCTGCCCCCCGTCGCGACGCTCATGGCGCCCGGCGCCCCGCGCGCGCTGGCCCTGCAGGAAGTCGTCATCACGTCCTTCTACCCGCTCGAGGTGGGGGGGGGGGGGGGGAGGGGGGCACTGGCTGGCAGGCTCTGTACAGGTGGTGTTAGGTTGCGTGCACCCTGGCCTCTCGTTCCCTCCTCGTCCTCAACCCTCTCACCCCGCCACGGCTCGCCGTCTTTCCCTCCCTCTCGCCCACTGCCCGCTCTCCCTCCTCCTCTCACCCATCTGCTGTCTCCCCCCCCCTCCTCACCGGCAGGTGAAGCTGAGCGAGCTCACGCTGGACGCCTTCCGCGTGCTGCAGGCCGTGGAGTGGCTGCCCAGTGGCTTCTTCGTCAAGACGGCACAGGGGGGGGTCGCCACGCAGGGCTTCAGCGCTGCAGGGGGCGCGGGGGGCGGTGGTGCGGGTGGTGAGGGCAGGGAAGGGGGCGAGGGGCCGCGCCTGGTGGGGGGGGCGGAGGAGAACGTGGTGGATCCGAGCCTGCCGCCCAACCCGCACAAATACGTGCTGCACCGCCCCACCGTGCCGCACCTGCTCATGGTGAGGGGGAGAGGGGTGCAGGGCGTGCATGGCGTGGCGTGGCTTGGTGTGGCGTGGCTTGGTGTGGCGTGGCTCCTCCGCGTATGTCCGTCCGTCCGCACAACTTCCTTCCTTCCATGCCCCCGCGCACGCCCATACTTCCCACCCTGCCATCCCGTCATTCCCTCCACCCCTTATCCCTGCATGCGTGCGTGCGTGCGTGCGTGCGTGCGTGCGTGCGTGCGTGCGTGCGTGCGTGCGTGCGTGCGTGCGTGCGTGCGTGCGTGCGTGCGTGGCGTGCGTGCGTGCGTGCGTGCGTGCGTGCCGGCGTGCGTGCGTGCGTGCGTGCGTGCGTGCGTGCGTGCGTGCGTGCGTGCGTGCGTGCGTGCGTGCGGTGCGTGCGTGCGTGCGTGCGTGCGTGCGTGCGTGCGGTGCGTGCGTGCGTGCGTGCGTGCGTGCGTGCGTGCGTGCGTGCGTGCGTGCGTGCGTGCGTGCGTGCGTGGGGGCGGCGTGCGGCGTGGGCGTGCGTGGGGTGGGCGTGCGTGCGTGCGTGCGTGCGTGCGTGCGGCGTGGGCGTGCGTGCGTGCGTGCGTGCGTGCGGCGTGCGTGCGTGCGTGCGTGCGTGCGTGCGTGCGTGCGTGCGTGCGTGCGTGCGTGCGTGCGTGGTGCGTGCGTGCGTGCGTGCGTGCGTGCGTGCGTGCGTGCGTGCGTGCGTGCGTGCGTGCGTGCGTGCGTGGTGCGTGCGTGCGTGCGTGCGGCGTGCGTGCGTGCGTGCGTGCGTGCGTGCGTGCGTGCGTGCGTGCGTGCGTGGGCGTGCGTGCGTGCGTGCGTGCGTGCGTGCGTGCGTGCGTGCGTGCGTGCGTGCGTGCGCGTGCGTGCGTGCGTGCGTGCGTGCGTGCGTGCGTGCGTGCGTGCTCGTGCGTGCGTGCGTGCGTGCGTGCGTGCGTGCGTGCGTGCGTGCGTGCGTGCGTGCGTGCGTGCGTGCGTGCGTGCGTGCGTGCGTGCGTGCGTGCGTGCGTGCGTGCGTGCGTGCGTGCGTGCGTGCGTGCGTGCGTGCGTGCGTGCGTGCGTGCGTGCGTGCGTGCGTGCGTGCGTGAGCGTGCGTGCGTGCGTGCGTGCGTGCGTGCGTGCGTGCGTGCGTGCGTGCGTGCTCGTGCGTGCGTGCGTGCGTGCGCGCGTGCGTGCGTGCGTGCGTGCGTGCGTGCGTGCGTGCGTGCGTGCGTGCGTGCGTGCGTGCGTGCGTGCGTGCGTTGCGTGCGTGCGTGCGTGCGGCGTGCGTGCGTGCGTGCGTGCGTGCGTGCGTGCGTGCGTGCGTGCGTGCGTGCGTGCGTGCGTGCGTGCGTGCGTGCGTGCGGCGTGCGTGCGTGCGTGCGGCGTGCGTGCGTGCGTGCGTGCGTGCGTGCGTGCGTGGCGTGCGTGCGTGGGGGGGGGGGGGGGGGGGGGGGGGTGCGTGCGTGCGTGCGTGCGTGCGTGCGTGCCGTGCGTGCGTGCGTGCGTGCGTGCGTGCGTGCGTGCGTGCGTGCCGTGCGTGCGTGCGTGCGTGCGTGCGTGCGTGCGTGCGTGCGTGCGTGCGTGCGTGCGTGCCGTGCGTGCGTGCGTGCGTGCGTGCGTGCGTGCGTGCGTGCGTGCGTGCGTGCGTGCGTGCGTGCGTGCGTGGGCGTGCGTGCGTGCGTGGGCGTGGGCGGCGTGCGTGCGTGCCGTGCGTGCGTGCGTGCGTGCGTGCGTGCCGTGCGTGCGTGCGTGCGTGCGTGCGTGCGGGGGGGGGGGGGGGGGGGGGGGGGGGGGGGCGTGCGTGCGTGCGTGCGTGCCGTGCGTGCGTGCGTGCGTGCGTGCGTGCGTGCGTGGCGTGCCGTGCGTGCGTGCGTGCGTGCGTGCGTGCGTGCGTGGCGGTGCGTGCGTGCGTGCGTGCGTGCGTGCGTGCGTGCGGTGCGTGCGTGCGTGGCGTGCGTGCGCGTGCGTGCGTGCGTGCGTGGCGTGGTGCGGGCGTGCGTGGTGCGTGCGTGCGGCGTGGGCGTGCGTGCGTGCGGGGTGCGTGCGGTGCGTGCGTGCGTGCGTGCGTGCGTGGCGTGCGTGCGTGCGTGCGTGCGTGCGTGCGTGCGTGCGTGCGTGCGTGCGTGGGCGTGCGTGCGTGCGTGCGTGCGTGCGTGCGTGCGTGCGTGCGTGCGTGCGTGCGTGCGTGCGTGCGTGCGTGCGTGCGTGCGTGCGTGCGTGCGTGCGTGCGTGCGTGCGTGCGTGCGTGCGTGCGTGCGTGCGTGCGTGCGTGCGTGCGTGCGTGCGTGCCTGCCTGCCTGCCTGCCTGCCTGCCTGCCTGCCTGCCTGCCTGCCTGCCTGCCTGCCTGCCTGCCTGCCTGCCTGCCTGCCTGCCTGCCTGCCTGCCTGCCTGCCTGCCTGCCTGCTTGCCTGCCTGCCTGCCTGCCTGCCTGCCTGCCTGCCTGCCTGCCTGCCTGCCTGCCTGCCTGCCTGCCTGCCTGCCTGCCTGCCTGCCTGCCTGCCTGCCTGCCTGCCTGCCTGCCTGCCTGCCTGCCTGCCTGCCTGCCTGCCTGCCTGCCTGCCTGCCTGCCTGCCTGCCTGCCTGCCCGCCTGCCTGCCTGCCTGCCTGCCTGCCTGCCTGCCTGCCTGCCTGCCTGCCTGCCTGCCTGCCTGCCTGCCTGCCTGCCTGCCTGCCTGCCTGCCTGCCTGCCTGCCTGCCTGCCTGCATCCCTGCATGCACGCGCCCCGCCCTCAGGTGCTGGCCACAGCCGTGGACGAGCTGCCCCCCGACGCCGCCCTGCTGCTCTACCTCTCCGCCACCGCCACCCTTGCTGCCCCCCCCGCTGCTGCTGCCCCCCTCCCTGCCCCCTCCGCGTCCACCCCCGACCCCTCTGCCGCATCACCTGCTGCCCCCGCCGTGGCGAGCAGCAGCAGCAGTGTGTCGCGAGAGGAAGGTGGGCTGGCAAGCGGCCCTTCAGGCGACGCAGCAGCTTCAGCCGCTGCAGAGGCCGGCGCACGGCCAGGGGAATCCAAGCAGTGCAGCAGCAGCGCAGCAGATGCGGGCGGGGGGGTCAGTGCAGAGGGGCAAGGCACAGAGGGTCAGACGGGCAGCAGAGCACGAGGTGATGGGGGCGAGGGGGATGGAGGCAGGGGGGGGGACGGGGTGTGGTTGCGGATGGGCGTGGGGCCAGAGGAGGCACACATGTGCTACCTGCGGGCATCTGACATCCTGCCCTTCACCCGCCGGCCACTTGTGCTCATAGTGGATAGTGACAACAGCATGGCGTTTGAGGTGTGTTGGTCTCCTACCCTTGCCTCCGTATCTCGGTCTCTCCCCCTCACCCATGCCCTGCTGCATGCGCATGCTCGTGCCAGTGCTGCCATGCCTCCATCTCTTGATTCTTCCCTGCCTATCCACTTCTTCCTCTCCCCTCTTTCCCCAATCACTCCCCTGCGTCCCTCTCCCTCCCCCCCAGTGGGTGCATGGCAGGGAGCGCGGACAGCCGTGCGCCATGCTGCTGTCACCCCGCCTGCAGCCCGACATCAGCTCGGCCCCCCGCCCCTCGCGCTCCCAGCCCTCCACCACCGCCACCGCCACCGCCACTGCTGAAATGGCGTCCTCAGCCTCCGCTCAACCTGCCTCTGCTGCTGCTGCTGCTGACATGGGCGCAGAGGCGCCCTCAGCTCACCCCACTGCCGGCCCGTCCAGCCCCTCCTCTGCCCTCTCCGCTGCGCCTGCTGCTCCTGCTGCTGCTCCCCCTGCCTCCTCCACCTCCTCCTCCCCCCTGTCCCTGGCCACGGCCACGCACCTGGCGGGCGGCAACCTGTTCACGCTCTTCCTCACGGCCCCCCTGCAGGCCTTCTGCCGCCTCACTGCCGTCCACCTGCCCGATGTCCCCAAGGTACCGCTGCTCGTATTTTCAAGCATAGTAGCCAAAACAATGGAAATTGGCACAATAGCATAGGGGCAGAAACGTGTTGCGGCGTGTCACGCGGGGCCGTGGCGCTCCTCAACTCATGCGTGCTGCCCCCTCCAATCGCCTCACTCCTCCTCCCCTGCCCCAAACGCGCCCTCACCTCTTTCCCCTCTCTTCTCCTTCCCAACCGCCCCCTCCCACCTCCCCTTTCCTTTCCGCCAGGAGCGGTACATGGCGTGGGAGCGGCACCTGGCCATGCTGCTGTCGCAGTGGGGCTCCTCTCTCGCGGCGTGCCCCACACTGCCCCTGGCGTGGGCGCGCCTGCTGCTGGACCCCTTCCTGCGCCTCTTCCTCCTGCGGTCAGCGCCCTGCCCTCCATGCCACGCCCATGCGCATCGTTGCTTGCATGGCAAGAACATCCTGTCCCTCGCATTCTTTCCACCATCTCATGCCTACACGGACCCATCTGCCCCTCCCCCACCCACTCCCTTTCTGCAACTTCCCCCGTCTCTCCCCTCCTTCACCCCCCCATCAGTTTCGTCTTCGCCCGTGCTGTGCTCGCGCTGCACGTCTCCTATGCCGCCCGCCCAGCCTTCCACCCACACTGCTGCCCACCCCTGCCGGCCACAATGCTCCCCTCCCACCCCGCGATCCACTCTGCCGTCCGCCACCTCGCTCAGCAGTGCGGTGTTGCCGCCCAGTTCCCGCCGCCCAGTAGCAGCCCGTGCCCCCCACAAGTGACAGAAAAGCGCGGCGATGGAGAGGTGGTGGTGGGTGGTAGTGCTGTCGGTGCTGGTGCTGCTGGTGCGGCCAGTGGGGAGGAGGGGGGAGCAGAGGGACGCGGTGAGAGCGGGGAGGGCATGGAGAGGGGGGGCAGCAGGGACGCAGAGTCAGGCAGCAGCGCAATCACAGGTGCAGGCACAAGCAGTGGGAGTGGGGTGGACACTGGGAGTGAGGGTGGGAGTGAGGGGGGGAGGACAGTGAGTGTGGAGGAGAGGAGGCGGCAGTTTGCAGCGGGGAGGATCGGAGGGGTGCCGGTGCTGGGCGGCATGGGGTTTGATTCCTTCAGGCAGGACACTGTGGTGGGGGGGGCTGGTGCTGTGCAGGGTGGGGGAGATGCAGAGGCTGCGTGGGAGCAGCCGGCAGTGGGGGATGAGGGGTGACGGGTGGTGGAGGGAAGCGGTGGGGTGGGGGTGTGTGTGTTGTGGGGCGTGAAGAGCGGGGGTATTTCTTGGAGGCAGGAGCAGCTTGTGCCGTGTCCTGTACCATGCGCTGTGCGGTGTACCGGTATGTGTGAAGAAGCCTTGAACAAGGAATGTCAGTCAAGTCAAACCCAGTCAATTGCCATCCAGCCTTGGCGACAGCCAGAGGGTGAGAGAGTGTCCGGCAACACCTGCTGATGATGGCCACGTAGGCCAGCAAGTGCAGTCCGGTTCCACACTGCCCGCCTGACCAAATTGCAGAAGCGCATGGAATGCGGAGGGCAGCAGTGGACAATGGCCAAGCCAAGGCTACCCACCCACACATGGCTACAAGCTCTACGGGTGCAGCAGCTATCGTAGTCGCGTTGCGTTGCGTTGCATGGCTCATGCGGCAGATGGGCTTCATGCAGTCCCAAATGTTGGGCACCACTTGGCAGTGGTGCAGGTGCTTTGCCTGTTGGGCCCCTGCAGGCGGTGCCAGCCAACAACGCTGTACACCATGCAGGCTTATACCATGTCAATCATAATTCATATCACAGAGCAGCATACGGTACTACATGGCAGCAATGGCGATGCACGATGCCACATTGTGCCACCTCCATGCCACCGACCAGCACAGCAACCCTCCCTGGGCAGCAACATGTGAGCATCAGTGAGTGCTCAGTGGGTAAAACGATTTAAAAATACAGGTTCACCATTCAAAAGCGAGGAGAGGAGAGGAGAGAGCGCAAGGGAAGGGCGGGTATGGTGTGGCCCAGCAATGCGCTCCATGACATGGCCTGCTGGCACCCCCTGCCCCTCACCTCGTCCTCTCTGCTCTCCAGGAACAAGTGCTTCTCTCCAGTCCAAATCCCTTCCTCATTTCGGGTGTCCTCAGATGATGGCCGGCCGGTCATTCGACTACATGTGGCACGAAGAAGGGTCAGTCAGCCCGCACTTGCAAAGAGGTTGCACAGCAGTTGTTCTCCGGGTGGACTTGCTCGTGCCGTGCTGCATCGCCACTGCAATCCCCATGCCCACAAGTTGTAGGCACAAGATGGAGCCCACAGATTGCAGTGCCATTGATACAAGATGAACCGCTCTAACAGCCTGCTGGCGGCTTCTACTCAGCAGCAGCAGGAGCAGCAGGTGCTGCGGCCTTAGCAGCAGCGGCGGCAGCATGGCCCGGGCACGAGGTGCAGCCGTCCGGATGCTTGCAGCGGATGAGCCCGAAGAGCAGCGCCTCCGACACCGACGCCCGCACATGGCGCAGCAGCAGGCGCACTGCCTGAGGAGGGGGAGAGAGAGAGAGGCGCGTGGGGGCCATGGGGTGGGGATGAGCCGGGGGCCGTGAGGTGAGTGCAGTGAATGCAGTGCAAGCAAGAGTGAAGTGAGTTACTCATGCGGACACTGCACAGCAGCATGACAGCAAACAGGAACTAGAAGGATGATCGGCACACATCATGGCCTGCATGCTAACATCATGGCATGCAAGCCAACATCATGGCATGCAAGCCAACATCATGGCACGCGTGCTAACATCATGGCAGGCAAGCTAACATCATTGCTTGCATGCCATCACGGCCAGCATACCTCACTAACGCTCTGGCAATTGTTGGCTTCTTGAAGCGTCTGCAGAACCCCCTCATGCTGACGTCATGGGTGACATGTGATGGTGGCAATAGCAAGGCGCGTATACTGTGAGTTGTGGCGGAGCAGTGGATGAGAGCAGTGGATGGGAGCAGTGGATGAGAGCAGTGGATGAGAGCAGTGGATGAGAGCAGTGGATGAGAGCAGTGGATGAGAGCAGTGGATGAGAGCAGTGGATGAGAGCAGTGGATGAGAGCAGTGGATGAGAGCAGTGGATGAGAGCAGTGGATGAGAGCAGTGGATGAGAGCAGTGGATGAGAGCAGTGGATGAGAGCAGTGGATGAGAGCAGTGGATGAGAGCAGTGGATGAGAGCAGTGGATGAGAGCAGTGGATGAGAGCAGTGGATGAGAGCAGTGGATGGATGAGAGCAGTGGATGAGAGCAGTGGATGAGAGCAGTGGATGAGAGCAGTGGATGGGAGCAGTGGATGAGAGCAGTGGATGAGAGCAGTGGATGAGAGCAGTGGATGAGAGCAGTGGATGAGAGCAGTGGATGAGAGCAGTGGATGAGAGCTGTGGATGAGAGCAGTGGATGAGAGCTGTGGATGAGAGCAGTGGATGAGAGCTGTGGATGAGGGCTGCACGCGGTACTTAACCATGAGTGCGCGGTAGAGAGCAAGGCACTTGGCATGACAGCATAGAACCTCATGTTGAGGGCAGCGTTCAACACTGGGCGAGGGCAGCAGGCACTCAACACGGGGCGAGGGCAGAAGGCACTCACGAATCCTTCGATGGCGAATGAATGCGCGGCGAGCGGAGAGCAGGGTGACTCGGTGGCCTGCCATGGGACGCCGTGCAATCCAAGACAGAGCAACGAGACGCCATGGCATGGCATGGCATGGCATGGCATGGAGTGCAGCGGGATGCAGAGCAGGGAATGGCATGGTGGCATGAGCCGTACAACGAGTTCCATGGACGACGCGCGCGACCCACTGGAGCAACCCGCCGCACGCAGCGCCACCACGCGGCACAGCACGCCGCGCTATACTGTGCATACCCCCCTGGCCTTACCTCCGTGCCGCCCAGTGCCGCCAGGCTCTCATCCCTGGCGTACGTCAGCACGATGCGCAGCGCCTTGCCTGCGCACGGCGGAGAGCCGGGGGGAGGACGGGGGTGTGGGGGAGGCAGTGAACGCGCGGGCGACCGACGATTGTGCTGCCAATGCGCCGTCGGTCACCGAATTCACCCTCCGACTCTCTACCCGCCGCGTCCTCCTCTCATCCGTCTTGCCTACGCGCGTCCCTCATCGCAGCTCGCCTACGCACCGGCGTCAGGCAGGCCGTGTTTGGCGGCCATCTGCTCGAGCCACGCCGCGTCGCCCGCCGCCAGCTGCAGCTCCACCGCGATCTTCGGCGGCTGTGGCGGGGGAGGGGTGGCAGGAATGCGAGGGCGGAGGTTAGCAGCGGCGGAGGGCGATGCGAGCGACGAGAGGGAGCGAGATTCTGTGCAGCGCGACGACCTACACGCACCGCCATAGCCGATCCACCCTCAAGAAGGTCAAGGTGATGCCGTCTTGAGTGATGGTGGAGTAATGTGAATGATTAATAGGGTATTAAAAAACAAACAAGCCTGCATAATGTATCAGAGTGGCGCAGCGGAAGCGTGGTGGGCCCATAACCCACAGGTCCGAGGATCGAAACCTCGCTCTGATACTGTTGTTTAAATCTCCCTTTTGCGGTTGGAAAGGGAACACACAGTGTGTGTTCTCAACGTTCCATGTCAACCACCACCAAGTAGCGCATTTGAGGTCTGTTGTAGTTGTAGGTGACGTTTGGTCCACAATGAGGTGTACACGTTGCTCAAACACGCTTCTGCATGTGTTGCCTGCAAGCACCGTCTCTGCCCTGAGATTGAACCGCCCCGTCCCGAGATTTGCAGCTGCTGCGCCCGTCGAGAAATTTGCGCCATCGGGAATTTTGCACCACGCGTTTGCAGAGCATCACAGCCTCATGCTCCACTCCAGAACTCCACAACAGAGTTTCATTGCGGTTTCCTCACCATCCATGGCTGCGACCATCAGCTCTTCCCTGGTGAGGTACGTCGCCCGATTTATTTATTTTTAAAATTAAGGTAATTGTTTTTTTCCCAGCGTCCTAACAGATTTTCTTCATTCCCTGGCAGGCTTGCGAGGCTCCGCCCTAAATCTCACGTTGCAGATTTTCACCCGCCGTCAATTGCGTCCATCACGCGGAAGCCTTACTCAGGCGTCAGTGAGTGCGTGCGAGTCTTATCGGCACGTAGTAGACGGACGTGCATCCACGATGCACCCCTCCTGCAGTCCCCGCCGCTGCAGTATTCCCACGACCCATCAGCGGAGTGCGTCCTCAGCATCGCGGGCATCCATGGGTTGGCGGGTCCCGACCTCCCCGTAGAGCTGCCGGGTCGTGGCGGAGGGCAGCCTGCGCCCCCCGAGATATTCCCCAGCTCGCCGCCAATCCCCATGCCCAACGTCCCCCCGCTCACCCCCCCCGAAGTCCCCCCGCCCTCACCACCCCCCGAAGCCGTCCCCATCCCGCCCCCTGGAGCCCCAACCCCAACCCTTCCGCCAAATCTGCCGCTCTTCCCCCCGCCCGAGGTCCCCTCTCCCCCTCCGCCCGGCATTGTTCCGGAAATCCCCGAGATTCCCAACCCTCCGGAGCGAGCCCCCGAGATTCCCGAGGTGCCAACCCCGCCTGACGTGCTGCCGGACATCCCGGGCATCCCAGGACCGCCGCATGTGCCGGACGCGCCCGAGCTGCCGCATCTGCCGCCGGAGGTGCCGCCAGGATCACCAGGCGGACGAGACGGCATCATGTGGGCGACGATGGCCCGCCCGCGCTGACCGCCGCTGACCCTACTGGCATAGCAACTTCCTAGGGTAGGTGGTCATGCGCGAGCGGGAAACTACGTTAGCCTCAGAAGCACCTTCGGCTCATCGTTGTACTGGAAAGCTGTTGTACCGTTCTGTAGTTGTATATACAACTTCATATGGACAGCAGAAAAGCATGCTAAGAGGAGGAGCTAGTAAAAACAGCCGACCAAGAATCGCAGAGGAGAAAAGAGAAGAACGAATAGAGTACACAAGCAGTTGACGGCCTCGCTACTCGTCGGCGAGCATCTGCATCTGGGGGGGCGGTGAACACGCCTGGAACTTGCGCACGTTGCCCGCATAGCCTGGGCGGAGGCACGGAGGGGGGATGGGCAGGCAGGGAGGAGATGTGAGTCGCCGCGCATGTAGGGAAACGAAGGGAACACTGGGTGGGTGCCGGTGGGAGCGGGCGCAGTTAACACTGCTGCGGCTTATGATACTTCATGCTAGTGACATGCGCGCACCTATGGCGGGGTCCCATCCGCGGTTGCGCAGTTCGCGGTGCTCCTGCGCGATGGCGCAGCACGCGCACACGCAGTGCATCCACATATCGCTCAGCGGCCGCTGCGGCAGCATGTACTTCTCGCGCAGGCGCTTGCGGAAATCTGCGGAGCAACGGGTGTGCAGGAGAGTGTGGCGAGAGCATGATGGTGTGAAGTCACGAGACGAGGTCACACGGCGAGGCAGCACGCGAAAGCGAATGGATGGGGATCCGCGGAGAGAGCGGCAAGGGGGCGCAAGGGAGGGAGCGCAAGGGAGGAGGCGCAAGGGAGGAGGCGCAAGGGAGTCTGACCTCGCCCAAAGAAGGCGCCGCTGCAGGCGAGCTGCAGGAGGGCCCAGCCGACGCACGCCCGGTAGGGGTCTGCAGGGCGCGGGGCAAGCGAGCGGAGGATAAAGGGAGTCGATTAGGCGGAGACGGGGGGCTGCGAGGCGATCATAGCAGCTAGCGCGCGAAGCAGTGCACTGCGGCTAGGGCCAGCGGCGGGTCACCTGTGAAGCCGTCCGTGACGATCTCGGCGTTGCGCCCCACCATGACGCATGGACAACACGCCGCGCAGCACACTGCGCGCACACACAACGGGCCAAAGCGGGGGCGTTGGGGATTAGCAGAGCGGAAGACGCGGGGTGATGTGAGGCCATCGAGGCGAGACGGTTCGGCGCGCTTACTGGAAGGGACGTCGTCGCAGCAGGCGAAGGCGGGCGTGGTCCACGCGCCCTCCGGCACCCACGGCTGGTCGAACGCCATGGCGGCGCCGAGATGCAGTGCGCAGGGTTGAACGGGACAGTGGCAGGCAGGCTGCTTCGGGCTCGACTCAACTTGGTCCTCGGCAGCGAGATTGGCGGGGAGCGATGGTTTCTACAGAAGCAGGCGAGTGGCTGGCAGTGGACAGCGTGAAATGCTGGGAGAGAAACTGGATGGCGGAGCAGAAAGCTGTGGGAAATAACGCAGAATGGGAACGTGGTGTATGTGAGGGGCGAGGTGGCGGTGGAGCTGTAGTCGTAAACAAGGAGGTCAAATGAGATCCCAAGATGCGGCACGCGAGGGAACGCGATGAGCCGTGAAGTGCGGGCAGCGCCCCCAACGCCATTATCGCAGGCAGGCGTGATTCGTTGGCAGAAACGCGAACCATGCTCTCGCTATTGGCGCACGCGAAAACCAATTGCTTCAGGACAATGAAGCATCGATCTGACTTTCATGGCCTTTCAATATGAATGCAGTAAGAAAAGTTTCTATGGCATGCCACATAATCAAGCTTGTATGTGGATAATGCATGGTTCGGAATCGTGAAAGTAAACGTCATTTCATGGATTCGTGGTGTCACAACAGAAGTGCTAAGCTGCGGATGATGTTTCTAATTCGGATACAAGATCCTTCAGCTTTTCTATCAGTACGCTCATGCCTGGTCTATTGTCCCAATCATAGAAGATGGCAAACTTTATCAACGTGAACACGACAAGAACATGCTTCAGCTGCCACTGGCCCGAAAGGCTTGGGTCCATGACAAGAGCTGCATCAGGGTAGTCCCTTGCGGTAACCAGGCGCCGCAGCTCCTTGAAGTTGCCATCGAGCGCAGAGCAGCCGGAGATGAGCTCGAGGAGGAAGATCCCAAACGCATACGTGTCGGACTTCTTGCTCAGCATGCCTGCACGAGCAAAGCAGGACAACAACGGCAAGCATAGAGATTTCCTCCAAGAGCCCCACAAGGCCTTGGTGATGCCGGTGCCGTGGAAGTGAGTGCGGTTTTGCGTGGAGGAAAGGGGAGGGCATCTGACCTGAGTCGAAGTAGATGGGGTCGATGTAGCCCACCGACCCCATCACTCTCGTCTCCACATGTGTCTTCCAATCGTCCACCGCTCGAGCCAGCCCAAAATCCGCCACCACGGGAGTCAGGTCCTGGAACGGTTGCGGGGTGGGTGGGGTTGACAAGACCCGCTTCAGGAGCCAAGACTAAGGGAAAAGTGGGCCTAAGGCCGTGGTACCTGGGTTGCGCAACCTATCTAAGTTGCGCAACCCAACCTGGTTACCAGGCTTGCCGAACCTCGCATGGCGTGTGAAAAATGGGTTGAGTTGGGTTGGGTTTTTCGCCAGTTGCGCAATCCGGGTTGCAGTCTCGAGGCAAAGCGCGCGCAGCCCATGTACCACGCCTTAATAATCTCTCAGCAGCATGCTGGGCCTCACATCTCTGAGCAGCATGTTGCGCCTCACCTCTCTGAGCAGCACGTTGGACGCCTTGAAGTCGCGGTGCACAAAGTTGTTGGCGTGGATGGTGGTGAGCGCCTCCGCACACCCCAGCGCCACCCTCATCCTTTCGCTCCACGAGAAGCGCACCTCGCCCCGCTTGGCTGGGGCGGGCGGACCACGGCGAGAGAAGGGACGGATGCCGACAGAGAGGGGACGAGACGATGGAGGCGGGGAAAAGGAGACGGCGCACGTGCAGGACGAGACACGTGGCGGCGGGCAGCAGCACGGATGAAGGCGGGGAGTGCGCGGACAAGAGGGCACGCAGCAGAGGAGGGAGTGTGGTTGATGGGTGAGGCGGAGAAAGACACACCTTTGGCAAGGTAGGAGCTGGCATCGCCATTGGGGATGTACTCGTAGATGAGGATGGGCGTGGCGCCCACCACATAGCCTTCCAGCCGCAGGATGTTGGGATGATGCACCCGCGCCATCACCGCCACCTCCGTCTGCTATGCCGCCATGCCACCATGCCACCATGCCACCATGCCACCATGCCACCATGCCACCATGCCACCATGCCACCATGCCACCATGCCACCATGCCACCATGCCGCCATGCCACCATGGCACCATGCCACCATGCCACCATGCCACCATGGCACCATGCCACCATGCCACCATGCCGCCATGCCGCCATGCCACCATGCCACCATGCCACCATGCCACCATGCCACCATACCGCCATGCCACCATGCATGGCAGTAGCCACAGCATTGACAGCCGAGTATGGCAGGGGTTGGGGACGAGGAGATTAGAGTGACCTTTGGGGGGGGTGGTTGGGAAGAAGATGGGGAGAGGGAAGATCGCACATGGGGAGAGGGAACATCGCACATGGGGAGAGGGAACATCGCACATGGGGAGAGGGAACATCGCACATGGGGAGAGGGAACATCGCACATGGGGAGAGGGAACATCGCACATGGGGAGAGGGAACATCGCACATGGGGAGAGGGAACATCGCACATGGGGAGAGGGAACATCGCACATGGGGAGAGGGAACATCGCACATGGGGAGAGGGAACATCGCACATGGGGAGAGGGAACATCGCACATGGGGAGAGGGAACATCGCACATGGGGAGAGGGAACATCGCACATGGGGAGAGGGAACGTCGCACATGGGGAGAGGGAACGTCGCACATGGGGAGAGGGAACGTCGCACATGGGGAGAGGGAACATCGCACATGGGGAGAGGGAACATCGCACATGGGGAGAGGGAACATCGCACATGGGGAGAGGGAACATCGCACATGGGGAGAGGGAACATCGCACATGGGGAGAGGGAACATCGCACATGGGGAGATAGTGCACTGTGCGTCGCTTATTCCCCGCGTCCGCACGGCCCGCCGTCCCCCGTGCGTCGCACCATGAAGCTGTCGACGCCGTTGGCGATGTGCTCGCCGCTCATCAGCTTCACCGCCACGGGCCACACGCCCGCGCTCTTGGCGCGGGGAGACGCGGGGGTGGGCTCGGCGAGGTACCCGTGGTACACGATGCCGAAGCCCCCCGCCCCAGCTCGTGCGCGAAGGCGCCGGTGGCGGCGTGCACGTCCTGGTAGCTGTACTCGAACACGCCCGCGCCCGCCAGCGCCGACTGCCGCACCGGGTACGGCGACCGCGAGTCTGGGGGGGACCGGGGGGGGGAGGGGGATGAGAGAGCGAGGGGAGATGAGGGAAGGGTAGAGAGAGGATCAAGAGTAGCAGGGAGGGGGGACGACGTGCGACGGCCGACAGCGCAATGTCAGTACGAGCGGGCACGCGACGTTAGTGCTACATGCGATCAAGACTCCATTTTCTAAGACGCGTCACCTGATCGCGACGACCCGAGCTTAGGTGGCGGTGGCCCGTCAACTGCTCCCGCATGCGACGCTGCGCACCCCATCGCCACGTGGCGGACGTGGAGTGAGGAACGGCACGCGGCAGAGGTGGATTGGGCAATAAGCGGCCGGTTACTCGCGACTGGTTGTCCAATGCGACCGTTCCTTTCGTACCGGTTACTCGCGACTCCTCTAGTGCGCTTCGGCTGTGCAACTAAGTCTTCTGATCAGTGGGCCCGTCGCCTGCTTTCAGTCGTCTCGCCGTGTTTCACGGAACGATCGCCAACTGCCTAAACGGTTACCGTAACCTAGACAACAAGGATGCGGCAGGCCTTCTAGGACTGCTCGCGGGAGCCATGTCTGTCGTAATCGGCGTCCCTTGGTCGGATGGCGTTACTGTTCCGTCGGTCAAGCCTGAACCAGACGCCGTTGAGGTGGCTTAGCTCGGACCTACTCCTGCTGTCAGATTACCTTGCGCTACTGGTGCCTGGGGCTGCTGTGCCTTGCAACATAACTAAGGGAGACAGGCACCATCCTCGCCCTGCTGCCACTCCACGCAAGTGCCACGGCCCATCTTGGCGTGGATGCGGTTTTGCGTTTCAACTGGTCTTTTTGAAACAAGTCCGGGAACCCGTTGCGAACATGACACCAGCTGCTCCTTGACCAGGTCCAAATCTCTCCCCGGTAATGCCGAGCGGCTTTGGGCAGCTTTGTGTTACTCGAACCAACTGCAACTGTGCCCTGAAAACAGGCCCTCGGCTGGTGTTCAGGCAAGGGGACCAAAGATTTCGCAGCAACAACTTGGTTGTGTCGCGCTGGTGATCGCGATTATTTCGCGAGTCGGATTTGACTTTCGTGAATCGCGAACACTCGGCGAAGCCAGCTTGGTGGGGTCAACGGCAGTTGAACACAGCAACACGAGGCGAGGCGAGGCGAGGCACAGCCTGGTCGAAAGACGAGGCACCATACAATACCATCTCTCGTATTTCCCAGCAGCTCAAGTCGAAGCTAGAAGTGTTTAGGTGACTACCAGCGAACACGTCGATTTCACGGCATCGTTCCAGTACCAGCCACTCATCACGTGAAGCACTCAGGGGAGGGCGTTACCCGTTTTGGGCTAGGCGAACCGAGCCAAACAGGGTTTGCGACAGGCCTGCAGAAGGGGACTTCCCTCCTTGGCGTCACGATGAGCCATGGGCGATTGCGTAACACGCAGCCTTTACACCACTTTAGTTCAGGTGACGTGAGATAGCCGTTACAGCCTTCCGTTCCGTCCATCGCCGCGAATCACGTGGCGGCCAGACATCACTTGTCGAGCTCCCTCGGGCAGTAGCGTGAGCTCGCGTCCGTCTCTCTGCGTCGCCGCGGCCCGCGGTGGAGCGCCATGGGGGCTCTCTTCTCGCGCCCGGTCGGCGATGGCCAACTCCGTACGCCGCCCTGCCCTTCCCCTCTCCCTTGCACTCCTTTGAACGCCGTGCTGCTCCCCGACATGCCAGCCCGAGCTGTCTTGCCAAGTCCCGCGCACTAAGGCCGGTTGGCCATGGAGAGCAATCCGTTTCAGTAGACCATCGATTTGGACTGGGTGGAGCGCGGTGGACGCCACCACGTACCTCAACCACCTCACTCACCGCTCACTCTTCCCAATACACGCACTCCCCCCCACCCCCCCTCCTCCCCCTTCCTTCCCCCCTCTCCCCCCTCTTCCCCCCCCCACCCCACCTTGTGCGCCCTAGACCCCGTGTACCCGGCGCTGCGGGCGGTGGTGGCGGGGGAGCGTGGGCGGGGGGCGGTGCAGGAGTACGCGTTCGAGGACGCGCTGCACGCCACGGAGGGCTTCAAGGCGCTGGCGGGCCGGGGGGGCTTCGGGTTCGTCTACAAGGGCTTCATGTGGGCGCACACCGCGCCTGGGGCGGGCGAGGGCGGAGTGGGGGCTGGCGCGCGTGTGCTGATCCCCGTGGCGGTGAAGGTGCTGAACGGCGACCCCATGACGGGCGTGGGGGGCCTCGCCACCTTCGCGGTCAGTGGGGGGTCGGGGGAGGCAGGGGGAAGGGGGGGGAGGGAGGGAAGTGAGTAGGAGCAGTGGCTCACTGGGTGGATGCACTTGTCGGTCCAACCCCGCTGCTTGGCTCTGCGCCCCTTCCTGTCATGAAGCCATCTCCCCTCCTCCACCCTGCCGTGTCCCATGGGCCATGCCCCAAACCCCCTCCCCCTCCTCCCCCCCCTCCCCCCCCTCCCCCCCCCTCCCCCCCACGCGGGCAGCATGAGAGCGCGCTGCTGGAGGAGGAGGGGCGGCACGCGAGTCTGCTGCGCGTGCATGGGTATGTGGCGCAGCGGCCGCCCATGATCATCTACGACTTCATCGAGGGCGGCACCGTGGAGCAGCTCATGGCAAGAGGTAGGCAGCTCATGGCAAGAGGTAGACAGCTCATGGCAAGAGGTAGGCAGCTCATGGCAAGAGGTAGGCAGCTCATGGCAAGAGGTAGACAGCTCATGGCAAGAGGTAGACAGCTCATGCTGAGAGGTAAACAGCTCATGCTCAGAGGTATGGCCTTGCTATTTCGCATGCTCACACATCACACGTGACCCGCACCCACCTCCCATATTCCCAACTCCGTTGCGCCGCTCCCATCCGCCGCTCACAGGGTGGCCAGCCTTCCCGCCATACCTCGCTCATGCGATGTGAGGCGACCTCGCTCATGCGATGTGAGGCGACCTCGCTCATGCGATGTGAGGCGACCTCGCAACCCCAACGTGTGCCTTGCCATGCCAACCCCTCCCCCTCCTCCCCCCCCCCCCTTCTGCCGAGCAGTGGAGAGGGGCGAGGTGCTGTTCCCATGGAGGGCGCGTGTGCAGATGGCGCTGACGTGCGCGGACGTGCTGGCGGAGCTGCACCGGCACCACCTCGTGCACCGCAACTTCAAGGCCTCCAACGTGCTGCTCACTCCGGTCAGCTCGCCACCCTGCCACCTGGTCACTCACTCTCACATGCCTGCCTGCTGTTCTGGCAGAGCGACCTCCCTCTTTCCCTCCATCCCCCCTCCTGCCCGTCCTCTCTCCATCCCTTTGTTTGTGCAGCACCTTCCCTACTTGCACAATCCCCTCATTTATCCTCCTCTCCCCTCAAACCCCCCCCCCCCCCCCCCCCCCCCCCCCAAACCCCCCACTCACTGTACCGGTGGCAGGACCTGACCCCCGTGGTGGCGGACTACGGGTTGGCGCGCGTGGTGGCGGACTGGAAGATGCACGTGCAGATGAGGGGCGCCGGCTCCATGTCCTACATCGACCCCGCCTACTTCGACTCAGGTGCATGCCGCCTGCACGCATGCATCCACCTCATCACGTCTGATTGCAGAATCTCTCATGATATCTTGTTACATGACTTGACATCCCAAGGCATCCCATGGCTTCAACGCACCCAATTACACTTCCAGGCACGCTGACGCGCCTGTCGGACACGTACGCGTTTGGCATCTTCCTCCTGGAGCTGGTGTCGGGGGCGTCGGCGCAGGGCCCGCGCTTCAAGGCGGTGCGCAAGGCCGTGGCCACGGCGCGCGAGCCCGACCCCTCGCAGGTGCTGGACCCGGTGCTGGCGGGGCAGTGGCACCCGTCCCAGACGGGCGTGGTGCTGGCCACCATCCGCTCCGCCATCCTCTTTGAGCGCGACAACCGCCCAGACATGGCCATCGTTAGAGACCAACTACGCCGGGTGCTGGAGATGATGCCATAGATGGGGAGAAGGCGGGATGTGTTCCAGATTATGGCTTGGTAGGTTTTTTAGGGATCAACTAGATTGTAGTGGCTTGCACTATATGTTTTACTTAGATGTATTCAAACTGCGTATATATTATACATATTTTCTTCACTCAACTACATGGCTGCCACTGTCGATCTACAATCGCGGATATCGGCACTTCCAGCGCCTGCTAATCTCAGGCTCCACGCCTCTTGTCACTCCCAAGGCAGCCTGCCTGCCACCATGCCGCTCTCCGCTCTCCCCGTCGCCCACCCAGTGGCAGCCACGGCTGCTCTCCACACTCGCTCCGCTCCTCCGCCGTTCTCCCATTCGCGCGTGTGCCCCGCCAGCGATCGCCGCCCGGCCGCCTTTCTCCCTCTGCGCGCCGGCAGCCGTCCGCTGAACGCCCATGCCGGCGGGCCCCCGCGAGGCCATGGAAGCACGGCGGGCTCCGGCGGCCGACGCGAGCCCGCGGTGAGGGCGACGGCGACTGTCGCGGTGGCGGCGGCAGGCAGCGGCGAGCTGGCGGCGTTCCCGCGCGACTACGACGAGGCGATCCGCCAGGTAGCGCGCAATGAGTGACGCACGCGGGGAAGGCGGTAGCGCAGAGGCAGTGCAGTGCAGTGCAGAGCAGAGCAGTGCAGTGCAGAGCAGTGCAGTGCAGTGCAGTGCAGAGCAGTGCAGTGCAGTGCAGTGCAGAGCAGTGCAGTGCAGTGCAGTGCAGAGCAGTGCAGTGCAGTGCAGTGCAGAGCAGTGCAGTGCAGTGCAGTGCAGAGCAGTGCAGAGCAGTGCAGTGCAGTGCAGTGCAGAGCGCGCGTGGAGATGCTGTCAGGCGTAGCGGAAGGGTGCTTCCATGGCGTGGCGCTGGCCACTCGTGGGATGCGCTCAGCAGCCCATCATGCGTGCTCCCTGGCGTGTGTGTCCCCCGTGCCACAGGCGCAGCAGGCCACTCAAGCGGCTCTCACCGACGGGCGCTCGCTGCTGGTGAGACGCACGCACAGGTCACGTGCCTTTCACCGCGGCACTTCTCACCACATTGCCTCTTATCACCACATTGCCTCTTATCACCACATTGCCTCTTATCACCACATTGCCTCGTATCACCACATTGCCTCAGCCCGCCCTCGCCCCTTGGTTGCCCTGCACTCCCTCGTTTCTCCCACCCGCCTGATGCCCGTCATTGCCGAGCTCCCACCCCCGCCTTGCTGTCGCTTTGTGTGTCACGACCCCTCCACTCATGAACGCCCAGCCCCTCCACTCATGAACGCCCGGCCCCTCCACTCATGAACGCCTGGCCCCTCCACTCATGAACGCCCGGCCACTCCACTCATGAACGCCCGTCCCTCGTGCCACCACTCCGCACTGCCGCCACTATCACCCACACCAGGAGGTTGAGTTCCCCACTGCCAGCCTCGACTCCGTGCCAGGTCAGATGGGTGATTCTGCCATGATGCCACACGTGCCATGATGCTACACATGCCATGATGCCGCACATGCCATGATGCTACACATGCCATGATGCCACACATGCCGTGATGCTACACATGCCGTGATGCTACACATGCCGTGATGCCACACATGCCGTGATGCTACACATGCCATGATGCCGCACATGCCATGATGCCACACATGCCATGATGCCACACATGCCGTGATGCTACACATGCCGTGATGCCACACGTGCCGTGATGCTACACATGCCATGATGCCGCACATGCCATGATGCTACACATGCCATGATGCCACACATGCCGTGATGCTACACATGCCGTGATGCTACACATGCCGTGATGCTACACATGCCGTGATGCTACACATGCCATGATGCCACACATGCCGTGATGCTACACATGCCATGATGCCGCACATGCCATGATGCTACACATGCCATGATGCCACACATGCCGTGATGCTACACATGCCGTGATGCTACACATGCCGTGATGCTACACATGCCCTGATGCTACACATGCCATGATGCCACAAATTCCATGATGCTACACATGCCATGATGCCGCACATGCCATGATGCTACACATGCCATGATGCCACACATGCGGTGATGCTACACATACCATGATGCTACACATGCCGTGATGCTACACATGCCCTGATGCTACACATGCCATAATGCCACACATGCCGTGATGCTACACATGCCGGGATGCTACACATGCCGTGATGCTACACATGCCATGATGCCGCACATGCCATGATGCCGCACATGCCATGATGCCGCACATGCCATGATGCCGCACATGCCATGATGCCGCACATGCCATGATGCCGCACATGCCATGATGCCCCACATGCCATGATGGAACAAATGCCAGTGGCAGCGCAGCATGTTCATGTGGTGTGAGGAGATCGTTCAGTGGGTTTGCCGTGCGCCCACCTCTGCCGTGCGCCCGCCTCTGCCGTGCGCCCACCTCTGCCGTGCGCCCGCCTCTGCTGTTTTGCGCCCGCCTCTGCTGTTTTGCGCCCGCCTCTGCTGTTTTGCGCCCACTCACCCCTTGCCGTCGGCAGGCGATGCGGAGGGCGGCATAGAGATGACGTCCAGCATGCGTCTGCTGCGCGAGTACTGCCTCATGTTCGCCCAGCGTGGCCCGCCGCCCTCCGCCGTGCGCCTCGTGAGTCACACCCCACCACGCTGCCCCCAATGCTGCCACGCTGTGTGGCTGCCTTTCCTTGTCCCTCCTCTCTTCCCTCTGTGTCCGCCCACCTCTCCTGAATGCAAACACGATTCCCTTTCCCCTCCTCCCCCTCCCCTCTCTCTTTGCCCTGCACCGCGCCCCTGCAGTTTTTCCCCGACGCCAACGAGCTGCCGGCAGCGCGGGACGTGTTTGAGGGCACGGCGTTCGCGCTGGACTGCCTGACCAAACCCACCGGCCTGGAGGACATCGGCTTCTCGCGCAAGCTGCCTCTGGCGGACCGTGTGGTCGCCTCCGACCGCCTCTTTGTCGCCGCGTACCCCTACTTCAACGTCAACGGTAACGCATGCTGCTGCGCATGTGCTGGACGATTTTGCTTGGCCAATTTTTGCCATGTGTTTGTGAGGCCTGGGGACTTGTTTCTCCCATTATTGCACCTCCCTGGCCAGTACCTATGCGTATCTTGTCGCTCTGCGACCACCCGTCTTCTGCTGCTATCTCTTCCACCTATTCTGCGTGCAGAGATGCTGGCGGTTGATGACTTGTACCGTGACGTGGCAAGCAAACAGGGGCAGCCAATCATTGTCTTCAATGGGGAGCTTGACCGAATCCGATCGGGATGTAAGTGGCTGACATGGGGATCACGAGGGCGGTGGCATGGCCTTGTTTGTGCCTTGTTCAATTCCGCCTCATAAACCTTCCATCCTTTCGATGTTTCATGTGTAAAGGTATGACTTTTGATGCCGGTTTGCCCTTCACACTGACTGGCAGATTACCCATCCTTCTTCTACCCCAAATTGGCTCAAGTCAATAAGAGCCTCCTCCCGCTATTTGAAGCTGTCTACTACATCCACAACTTCAAAGGACGGCTTGGAGGCAAGCTCTTCAGGTACGCCACAGACTCAGATGATTGTTTTGCCATGTGGCCAACGATGGTTTCCTTACTTGGTTTAATCCGTCCATGCAGGGTCTATCCGGGACCGTGGCAAGTACTGAGAGAGAGTGCAAATGGGCAGCTGATTTGCATCCACTCGCAAGAAAAGATGCCATCTTTGAAGGAAGTGGCACTTGAGATTCTTCCCAAGTAGTGCATGGATACAATGTGTTCATTATTTTTATTGGGCATATTTTATTGAAAGTTATATACGGATGAGGAAATGTACTTTTTGCCCCTTCTGTACCCGAATCTAGAAACCTCTTCACGAGCCAAACCCTGAGCTGCCAGCATGGACGGTCCACGATTGTTGGGGGACAACGATCGAACGCCTCTCAGCAGGTCCCTCGGTTGTATTTACTTCCTGCTTCTCTTTCTTTCAGCTCTTTTCCGTAGGTGTTGCAAGCACGCAGCCATGGCGTCCAAGCGAGGCAAGCCCGCCCACACCCCCCCGTCCTTCCCTCTCAGCCATCATCCCTTTGTCTGTCTTACTAGCGGCCCTATGGTTCGTTTCGTCATGGCTACTTTTTTGCGCCATCCGGTATTGGTTTACCCGTAGAGGTTTTTAATGCGGTGCCCTTAGTTTCTTGCGGATTAAGGCCAGAAGCATGGTTGTTCGTGTCGAGGCCTCAAGCGCAGCGGCTCGTTGTGTTAATGTTGCGTGGCAGGTGGAACGACGACGGGAGCCAAGTTTCGAGTGACGCTGGGTCTGCCGGTGGGCGCGGTGCTGAACTGCGCCGACAACACGGGCGCCAAGAACCTGTTCATCATGTCGGTGTGCGGCATCAAGGGCCGCCTCAATCGCCTGCCGTCCGGCGCCGTCGGCGACATGGTGATGGCGACCGTCAAGAAGGGCAAGCCCGACCTCCGTAAAAAGGGTGAGCACCCAACGGCAACGGGCTCAAGTGGCCGATTGGGGTGATATGCCATTCTAGGGTTTTGAGGTGTTGGGACGATCAGTGGCAGATGCGTGAGTTGATTGGCGCCTTCTCTCGCTAGGGTTTATGCTCCAGCGTGTTGAGCACCTTGAGGGAACTGCGCACCTCGTCGTCCCTGTGTGTTTGCTGCCTGGGTTGTCGAGGCTCGCCTCGGTCGTGCGTCGTGCGGCCATCCGTCCGTCCAGTCATCCCTGCCATCCGTCCGTCCAGTCATCCCTGCCATCCGTCCGTCCATTCATCCCTGCCATCCCGCTGCCTTTCCCCCCATCCTCACTTGCACCCGTCCCCGCGCGCTGCAGTGCTACCGGCGGTGATCGTGCGGCAGCGCAAGCCGTGGCGCAGAAAAGACGGCGTGTTCATGTACTTCGAAGGTCAGCAGGGGCTAGCAGGGTCAAGGAGGGCCAAGTAGGGCCAAGTAGGGCCGAGTAGGGCCGAGTAGGAGTATACCGCCTGGTTTGATTGCGGCTGCTTCAAACTGCGCGGTAATGGCGCGGAGAGCGTGGATTTGGTTTGGCAGCGCGAGATCTGTCAGCATTTCACCTTTCAGCATTTCACCTTTCCGTGCCACTCGTTGCTCCTCCTGCTCGCCCCCATGCCATGGCCTGCCTCACCCCTTGCTCACCTGGCCTGCCTCACCCGTTGCTCACATGGCCACTGCCGCGTTGCCGTGCCGTGGTGCTGTGGTGTCGTGGTGCCGTGGTGCTGTGGTGTCGTGGTGCCTTGGTGCTGTGGTGCAGACAATGCGGGAGTCATCGTCAACCCGAAAGGAGAAATGAAAGGTCAGTCCGCGCTCCTACGCTGTTATGGTAAAGCGCCTTCTCAATAGCCGCGCATTGCCTCTAGTTTCCGTGTTGCTGGTCGTCTCTCACGAACCACCCTCATTAACATTCCCGCGTGCGTGCGATGCTGTGTTCTGTGCGCGCGTGCGGCGTGGCAGGGTCGGCCATCACGGGGCCGGTGGCGAAGGAGTGCGCGGATCTGTGGCCGCGTGTGGCCAGCGCTGCCAACTCCATCGTCTAGCCGCCCTCTGGTCCGTCGCCCCGCCTCCTCCCCGCACTGCACCACCCGCACTCTTCCCCTTTCCCCTCCCTTTCACCCTCCTGCTCCCTCCACCACCTTGTTTCTCTTCCTCCCTCCCCCCTCCCTCCCCTCCCTCCCCCACCCACTTCCTCCCCTCCCCCTCTTCTCCCCGCCCCTTTCCTCCCCTCTCCTCCCCCCCTCTCTTCCGCCGATCTCTCTCTCATGCGTCCATCCTGGCTGCTGTATTGAATGCCCGCTGCTGCTTTCTTGGCCCGGGCGCCGCTCATGCCAGCCTGACGTTGCGTGATGCGTGTTTCGCAGACTCCGCGAGGGCAGCGGCAGTGAAGGGCGACAGGAGAGGCAAGGGGCGGCAGGGCTTGTCAGTGGCAGTGGCAGTGGCAGTGGCGGCAGCATTGTGTGCGGGGCTTGTTGTGATGGGAATGTGATGCAGGCGGACAGGCAGAGCAATGTCAATGGCCATAGCAATGCAATTCAATGCACCAAGATGTTGTGCCCCGTGTCACTTGCGCTTTGCTATCAACGTTTGGGATTTCCAGCCCATGATTCACTGGTTGAAAGAAAGTTGAATAGGTTCAAATTTTGTAGCAACGATTGCTTGTCTCCATGGCGCAGTGGAGGCTCGTTCCCAGCAAGGTCGGAGGATTCGGTGCAGAACAACTGCCAGTGTGCGTCGGGCGTCGGACATGCGCCACGAGCGGAAACTGTCTTGCACCCTCGACTCGACACCTGCACGTTACGTCATACGCATGAGGCTCCCACGCGCACATCCACCGCCGTTGCTAGCACCACCCAGCTCCGCGTGCCGCCATCCGCGCGACCCCGCATCTCTGTCGCCCGCATGGCCACTCCACGCGTCGCCGCGTTCCCCCCGCCCGCGACACGAGTCCGCCTCACACCGCTCGTGCTGCGCGCGCTTCTCATGTGCCTCGTCTGCCTCGTCCCTGCCGCTCCCGCCGCACCCATCTCGTCGCCCCCTCCCTCCTCTCCGTCGCAGCCGTCGCCCACTGCCGCTCGTCGTCGCCTGCGACAATCGCCCGATCCCCTGTCGCTGGCTGTCGCCTCGTCGCCCCTGGCAGATTGGGCGGCAGGCGATGGGCGGGAGGGTGACACATGGCGCGATTTGAGTGGCGAGTTTGATGAGGCGGAGGACGAGGGTGGTGAGGGGAGCAGCCGACGGGGGAGGGAAGGCGGGGGGGAGCAGACGCAGGGGCAAGGGGGGGAGCAAGCGCAGGGGAAGAGGCAAGAGGCAGGTGTGGGGGGGACGGAGGGGCTGGGGAGTGCGGTTGAGGGGGGGGCAGGCGAGGCAGCAGGGACGGGGGGGCGGCCGGCCGTGCACGGCACGAGTGACGGGCGCGATGGCGGGGCGGGTGGGAGGCAGCAGTGGGCGCAAGCAGCAGGAGGGGCGAGGGCGGGGATGCGGTCAAGGGAGCCGGCAGACGCGGAGGGGAGGGCGTGGCGGGTGGAGGAGGGGTGGAGGGAGTGGGACCGACTGGTTGGGTGCGAGCGCTTCCGAGCCAAACACGCAGGTCCGGTAGGTGGCAGGGCGAGCAGCAACGTGATGGTGGGCTGATTTGCCATGCGCTGCCTCTCACCCTCCTGTGCGCACATGCACTTGCACTTGCAGGTCGCAGCAGCAGCAGCAGCAGCAGCTTCCAGGGCGCTGAGGCGAGTGACTGCTCGCTGCTGAAGCTGCCCCACGTCACTGTGCAGGTGCGCCCCACATCACTGTGCAGGTGCGCCCCACGTCACTGTGCAGGTGCGCCCCACGTCACTGTGCAGGTGCGCCCTCCACCCTCTGTGTGCCGCATGTGGCATCGCTTTCTGCTTCATCTCTCGTATGCACTGCTGCCGCTGCTGCCGCAGCGGCACCTGTACCGCGATCTGTTGTTCACAAGGTGCATCCATTATAGTGCAGTGCATCTGTTCGCATTGTCACAGGCGTCCTTCCGAAATCCCGTGTGTCGGTGTGTTCCCAACCGTCCCCTGGCCGCCCTGCGTGGCAGATCATGGCGTCCTCCTCGCTGCCCGAGTGGCTCGAGGGCTTCTTCACCTGCCCGTGCGGGCTCACGTGCACGCTGTCGCGCAGTGAGGTGCTGGCGGCGCGCCCCGACGCCATGCTGTACGAGGGGTCGGTGCCCGTGGGGCAGCGCGTGCAGGGTGAGCCGCTGCTGGTGCAGGTGGCCCTGGAGGAGGGGGGCACGGCGGGGGCGGAGGAGAGGGGCGTGGATGTGGTGGTGGGGTATGGGCCGGGTGCGCACGTGCAGTGCTCGTACGCTGGCAACCTGCTGCTCGCCGACCACAACCGCCTCATGGCCCCCACCAAGAACCCCGTGCGTGCCATGGCACCATGCTGCATCGCCCTGCATTGCATTGCATCACACAGCTCTGTTCTTTCTGCCGTATCCCACTGCTGCTCCATGGTGTAGGAGAAGAGATGGGTACGAGACACTCCGGCATCCCGTGCCCCCACCAACATCCCCCCCCAGAACCGGACCATCTTCCATGCGTCCTCGCGCTACTCCCCCTGGCGGGCGTCCGCCGCCCCTGTGCTGCTGGCCCACCCCCTCACGCACCGCTTCGGCCTGCAGGCGCCCCTCTGGCTGCGCCTCTCCTCGCGCCGCGCCTTCCCCCACTGCCAGTACACGCCGGGGCAGGGGGGGGGGGAGGCGCAGGGGGCAGGGGGAAGGGGGCAGGCACAGGTGCATGGGCAGAGAGGGGGGATGGGCGTGGGCGTGGAATCGTTGGGTGGGGTTGTTGCAGGGGGGATAGGGGCTGTGGGGAAGGGGAGAGGGGAAGGTGGACGGGGGCAAGGGCAGGGAGGGAGAAAGGAGGGGCAGGGGGAGAAAAGGGAGGGAGGAACGGGGGGAGAGGGGGGCACAGGGAAGGAGGATGAGACGGTGGGGTGGACGGCAAGGGACCGAGAAATGGCAGGCGTGGACGAGGGCGGGGGAGATGGGGGAGGGGGGGGGGCGCGGGGGGGCCCGTACAGGGGGTGGTGGGGCGACCTAGCGTGCGTGCAGTCGCACTTCCTTTTCTCCCTGGCCTTGGAACGCCAGCCCCACCCCGCCTATGTGACCGAGAAGTTCTTCCTGCCCCTGCTCGCAGGTGAGCGCCCTCACCGCCCCCTCACCGCCCTCCTTGCACCGCTTCCCTGCACACCCCTCCCCCATCTCGCCTGCTTCTTTCCTCTCCCCTTGTGTGCCCCTGCTCGTGCTGCTCCCTGGCTGCACATGCTGCATGCTGAACCCACCATCCATCCCACACCCACCCCCCCCAGGCAGTGTGCCCATCTACTACGGCGCCCCGGATGTGAGTGCGTTTGCCCCCCCGGACTCGTTCATCGACGGGCGGGCGGAGAGCGAGGAGAGCATCTTGCGGCGCGTGCAGGCGATGCGCTCCAACGCCACGGCGTACCTGGGCTACCATGCCTGGCGCAGGTGCGTACCTGGGCTACCATGCCTGGCGCAGGTGCATACCTGGGCTACCATGCCTGGCACAGGTGAGGGCGCCAGTGCTGCTGCCAGCACCTCTGCTGCGTGTGTGTGCCTCTGGACTGGCTTTCAGCTCCTTGCCGTTCGCTGCCCTGGGGCACTCCTGATTGCTGCCCTGGGCCACTCCTGACTGCTGCCCTGGGGCACTCCTGACTGCTGCCCTGGGGCACTCCTGACTGCTGCCCTGGGGCACTCCTGACTGCTGCCCTGGGGCAATCCTGACTGCTGCCCTGGGCCACTCCTGACTGCTGCCCTGGGGCACTCCTGACTGCTGCCCTGGGGCACTCCTGACTGCTGCCCTGCGACACTCCTGACTGCTGCCTAACCCGCACTGGCCACCCTTTCCCCCCCTCTCACTTTGTTCAGGTGCGGGGTGCTGGGGGGGCTGCAGCACGCCCTGCGTGTGGGCGTGGACTCGCTGCCGTGCCGCCTATGCCACCGCATCAGCGCCATGGGCGGCAGGGCGCACGTGCCACACCCACGCAGCGACGAGGACGCTGCTGCTGCTGGTGATGGTGGCATGTCCGCAGCATTCCCTGCCGACGCTGGCTTGTCGGCCATTTGACCTGCGCCCTCTGTGGAAGCACGCGGGACGAGAGATGGTCTGTTTTCAAGCGACTGTGAAATGGCTCAACTGATTCTCATCCCACAGCATGGCACATGTTATGGCTCATTATATTCACGAATCCCCAATGCACATGCATGCAGTCTCTAAGGGCGTGGTCCTACAACCCCCTGCCAGAACTGCGTTGTTGCAACCAGGATCGTATCAAACATGTGAACCGCCCTGTACCACACGAGTGTGACACCAGGTGGGGCTAGACAGCAGGTGTAGGAATACGCCCTAAGCCACAGTGGACATGCTGTGTGACGCATGGCATGGCGAGGTAAGCATACAGGAAGCTGTACTGCAACCCCCGGCGGGCATGCAGACAGGTTGCAACCTTGCAGGCGTTTCATCGCCACTGGTCGCCCCCCTGCTGCACCTCACTCAGGTACACCGGCTCAGGTAGGGGGGTGTCCTCACCCCGGCCTCTGCGCCCTGCCCCGTGCGAATTGCTGCTGCTGCTGCTGCTGCTGCTGCTGCTGTCGCGCTTGCTGTGTGCTGTGCTGCCAGCAATACTGTGAGTCGAGGTGGGATGAGGTGGATGAGAGGGAGGGGCAGGGGAGGGGGAGGAGGGAGGATGTGGTAGGGAGGAGTTGAGGCGGGGGGAGTTGAGGCGGGGGGAGGAGAGGTGGAAGGCGAGGGGCGGTTGGAAAGCCCAGAAGGCGAGGCGGGGGTGGCGCCACCAGAGGGAGTCGAGGGGGTCGTCCACGTGGAAGCCCCTGACCAGCTGGGCGGCCCCGCGCTGGGAGATGATGTAGGCGAAGGAGCACCACGAGAGCGCGTCCAACGCGATGTGTGGGGCCAGCAGCGGTAGGAAGTGGCGCGGCACCACACCCATGTGCCCCACAAATAGGATGTCCGGTGGTGACTCTGGGCTATGCTGACGTGTCAACAGCTCATTGGCCTCTGCGATATTCCGCTCGAAGTCAGCCCGGAAGGTGTCTGTGGTGAAGGTGACGTCATCCTCCAGAATGATGGCGTAGGGCAGCTGGCGCCTGAGCACCTCCAGCCACAGCAGGTAGTGCGACAGCGCGCACGCCACCTCCCCCCGTGTCATCTTCTCGCGCCGCCTCTCCGCCAGCTTGTGCCACTTGATGGACCGCCGCGTCACCGACGCGTGCCCCCCGTCCACCAGCCGCCCAAACACCTCCAGGTTCCTCTCCAACGCCCCTCCCTCCCCTCGTCCCCTCCCCCCCCGCCCTCCCCCTTCCCCCGTCCACGCCATGCGCCACCACCACGTCTCCAAAGCCCTGCTGCTGCAGCAGGGGCAGCACGCGCTGCAGGCGGCGGGGGGAGCGGCGCAGGGAGAGCAGGAAGGCGGGCCACAGGGGTAGCGAGGGGGGCAGGGCGGGCAGCAGGACGGCAGGGGGAGGGGGGTGCACGTGAGGCAGCAGGTGCGGCAGGTGGTGCTTGAGCAGGCACTGCGCGGGGGAGAGCAGCGCGCAGAAGGCGGGGGAGGAGCGTGGGATGGACGGCAGCGGCCCGTGGGGCGCAGGGCGGTGCAGGGGCCAGGTGGCGTGCAGGGCGGCGCCGGTTAAGGCGGGGTGGCCGGGCAGAGCGAGCAGGATGGTGGCGCGGCACGCAGGGGTGAGCGGCGTGGAGGCGGGCAGCGAGAGCGCGGGGGGGGGCGTGCGGCAGGGCTTGGGCGAGCAGGCGAAGATGGTGGTGGCGAAGAGAGGGGGCTCCGCCGCCAGCACGGTCAGGGCGGGGATGGCGCCCATGCTCTCTGACAGAGGGCTGCGTGCACGCGGAGGGGGGCAGCACGGCAGCACGGCAGGAGGGCAGCAGGGCAGGAGGGGGGCGAGGGGCAGGGCAAGGGGGCATGCATGGGGAGGCGGGCAGGAATGGAATGGGTGAGAATGAATGGCAGAGAAGAGGTGGTGCAGGGCTTGATGACGAAGATGGTCGGTTTGTGATGGTGCGTGCTGCCTCACACACGTGCAAGCAAGCTGGCTGCCAGCCAAAACAGAGCCTAGCATGGGAGGGGGGAGCAGCAGGGGGTGCAGAGTGCAGCAAGGGGTGTACCGGTTGAATCTGGTGAGGGCCAGCAGGCGCTTGGCCCCGGCATAGGAGACGAGGTAGGCGTGGGAGGCTTCACTGGGCTGCGCGCGCACGATGCCAGGCGACAGCTGCTGCTCCGCGTACGGCGCCAAGGCATGGCGGGCGAGCAGCAGCACGTGGAAGAAGAAGCGGTCGGCGCGCTGCAGGATGAGCAGGTTGAGCTCCCACAGCAGCTGGGGGGAGGGTCAGAAGGGGCAGGCGGCAGCAATGGGATGGGGACGAGCAACGTGGGGGAGTGGGGGAGCCAAGGGGAAAGGCAGAACAGACAAGGCGACTAGCAACTCAGCATGAGGCGCATGCTCCCCCCTCCCGTTGCCCCCCTGTCCCCCCCCCCCCACAGCACCCCACCGTCTCAAGGCGGCGCTGCCAGTCAGCGACGCCCTCTGCTCGGTTGACGGCGTCCTCCTCCAGCACCAGCGCGAACGGCAGCCGCAACGCCACCACGCGTGCCCACACCTCTGCGTGCGCCACACTGTACCGCACCCACGCCCGCAGCCCCACTGCTGCGCTGCCTCCCACGGGTGCTGCTCGGTACAGAGGCGCGTACCTGGGGACAACAGGGGGGATGGGGGAGAACACGGGGCAAGTGATGGTGGAAGGGCAGGGAAACAGCTGGGAGGCGAAGAGGTAGGGAGAGCAAGCAGAGTGGAGCGCAAGGAGACATGCCAAGGGGGTTGTGGAAGGCAGTGCGGAAAGAACCAGAACAAGGGCTACCCATGTCTCACGTTGAACCCTCCCCCCTCCCCGCCTTCCTGGAATGCCATGTCACCCACCTGTGCCCGCGCCTCATCCAGAGGGCAGCACGCACCTGTGCGCGTGGGCGAGGGTGACGCTGCGCGGCATGAGCGCCAGTGTGTACGCCAGCCCCACCGACTGCAGCCGCGCATCCAACTCCTGGCGCCGCCACGGGAGCAGCGCAGCAGGGGGTGGGTGGAGACGGGAGAGCAGAGAGGGGCGAAAGGTGAGGGAGCAGAGACAGGGGCGCGGGGAGAAGGTGAGAGGGCATGAGAGGAGGCGAGGCGCATACTCGCAGGAGGGGGCTGAGGCCGAGGCCGGGCGCGGCGGCGGAGATGAGGAGGACGGCGTTGCTGCGCCACTCGTCGCAACGCAGCGGCAGCCCCGTGTCTCGCCGCACCGCCGGGTGCAGTGCCACCCGCCGCACGCGCCACTGCGCGTGGCCATGCGGCGCTGCCTGTTGCCCGGCGTGAGCACGTGCAGAGGAGGTGCTGTTGCCCCCGGTGCTGCCCACACGCACGCCTGCCCCACGCCTCCCCACCACCTTCACTGCCCTCCCGCCCATCCCCCCCACCCCTGCCATCCGCTCACACACACTCGCCCCCCCCTCCGCCCCTAGCCGTGCCTCCCCCCGTGCCCCCATCCCCTGCCCCAGCGGCAGCACCTCCATGTCTGCCAGCCGCCCCACTGCATGCATCCCCACCCCCTCCCCCTCCCCCCCCTCTCCGCGCCCCTCCACCTGCTGAACCACACCCCCTTGTGGCACCGCCTCCTGCCCTTCCCCCCTGCGATCACTACGCCCAGAGCTCTCCCCGCCCTCCCTGCGGGGCAGCTCGTCCGCCCCACGCCCGCCCCTCTCCGTCACTGCGTGCGCCCTCGCGCTCTCCGCCACGCCATCGCCACCCGCCCCGCCGTCCCTCGTGCCCATACCGCCAGATTGCCTTTCGTCCGAGCCAGCCCCCCTTCCCCACCATCCCGCCCGCCACACCATGCCTCCGCCTGCCCCTTTGCTGTTCCTCGTATTTCTCGATCCCCCTCCCCCCCACTCTCTTTGCGCTTCTCGTCCACTCCCACCTCCCCCCAATCCGTTTACGCGCGCACTCTCGTCTGCGGAAAACTCGAGGAAGCTTCCTCCATTCCACTTGCGCCTCACATCGCTGCGCGCGCGCAGCCCCTGCAGCCGCCGTCCGATGCCCCCTTGCTCGCCTGCGACAGCCACGCCGGCACGTGGGTGGGCGGCAGCGGCGATGGCGGCGAGGGGGGCAGCGGGATGGGGAGGGGCGAGGGGGAGCGGCGGAGGGATGGGGGGTGGGGGGAGGCGGGCGAGGAGCGGGGCGAAAGCGAGCAGCGCGAGGAGGGCTGCGACGGGGCGAGGCAGGAAGCGAGGGGGGTGCGAGGAGGAGAGAGGGTGGGGGGCGGACGGCATGATGGCGAGCGACGGCAAGGCACCCCGCAGCGATATCAGGTCAGGACGGATCACACGGCGGAACAACATGCGACGGCTGGTTCACTATATTAGCTGGCTCGCAAATGTGGTTTGCAGGCTCTCTAGGGAGCTTGGATGTATGGTGCTGGCCCCACATGTAGGGAGCCTTGCTAACATCGAGTACAGACAGCCCTAATTTTTGGAAGTCCAGGCTCGGCCCGAAATTTCAGGTTCGAACTACGTTCGAGACCCCAAGCCTACAGCGGCGTTGCATCCGACACTTCCGAGTCACGAGGTGCTCCATGTTAGAAAGAGAGGATGAACTAGAATGGGAGATTACAAGGGAATATAACCTAGAAGCTGTACCCTCTAAGACACAAACCTATACAGTCTATACAAACATAACAATATATGTTTGACACACCCCCTAGACTGTATAGGAGCAGTTCCTAACGAGAGAACGAGCAGCTCAGGGTGGCACTACTAGTCCGACCTCTGAGGCAAGGGTCTAAAGACCAGTCAAACGAGTACAGACCAAGTCAAAAGCAAAACCAGGGCGGCACTACTAGTCCAGCCACTGGAAGAGGCCACAAGGCAAGTCAGGATAAAATATATAAAAGGTCTGTACACAGTCAAGGCCCTAGCAAGTGAGAGGCTACAGGAACAAGACCTAGCTGTACACAGTGCCGCTGATGATCTTTAGGCGCAAGCGCCTTCGTAAAGATATCAGCTGTGTTGGCACCGGAGGCCAAGTGTACTACGCAAGTCTGGCGGCGCTACTCTAGCTCATGCAGGAGGAAGTACCGCAGCTGGATGTGCTTCGCTCTGCCCTCGAGTCGAGGCTCCTGACACAGGAGGATCATGACCCTGTTGTCAGCGTACAGGACCGGGGCAGAGCTAGGCCGCTCACCTAAGTCAGTGAGCAAGAAGGTCAGCCAGCGGAGCTCCTGTGCCGCCATGGCACCGGCGTAGATCTCTGCCTCGCAGCTGGACTGGGCAACGGACGAGGAGCGAGTAGCTCTCCACGAGACAGCACCCGAACCAAGGCTAAAGCAGTAGCCCTGCGAGGACGTAAGGGTCTCGGCGTCGTCTGCCCACGAAGCGTCTGTGTGCCCAGTAAGGACCACTGGCCTGCGCCCTCCTAGCACTAACCCCATGCCCGATGTACTTGCTAGATAACGCAAAACCCTCTTAGCGGCAGACTAGTGCTGAGGTCGGTGTCTGCCTGTAGCCACAAAGCGAGCCAAGATACTGAGATGGTATGAGAGATCTGAGCAAGTGCAAGTCATCAGGTACATGAGGCAACCCACCAGCTCTGCGTAAGGGCCACTGGGCTCTACTGACTCCTCAGGAACTGGAGCTGAGAGCCTGTGGTCTACACGCAAAGGGGTGGGCTGTGCAGAGGAGAACTGAAGGCCGAACCTCTGAAGGACCTGGCGCACCAAGTGTGACTGAGTGAGGGTGATGGTGCGCGCTGCTCTGTCCCTGGAGATCTGCAAGCCAAGGTAGTGGCACAGTTCTCCAAGGTCAGTGCAGGTGTGTCTCTTCAGCAGCTCTGCCTTCACCGAGGCTAGTGCGTCCCTGTCTGCAGTGGCGAAGACCAGGTCGTCTACGTAAACAAGGATGTAGAACGGAGTCTGGCCAGCACGAACGAAGAGCGAGGGGTCTGCAGAGGACGGAAAGAATTGCAGGTCAGCAAGGGTAGCACGCAGCGTGTCGTGCCACTTACGGGGAGCTTGCTGCAGGCCGTAGATGGGGCGCCGCAGGGGCCACTGGGACCCAGAAGGGAAGGTACCAGTGAAAACCTGACGGCGGCGCAGGTAGACCTGCTCGTGTAGACTGCCCTAAAGAAAAGCAGTGGAGAAGTCGAGGGAGTGAAGCTCGTAGTCACGCTGAGCTGCTACGTGTAGCAGCACCCGAAGAGTAGTCATCTTCGGGGTCGGAGCGAAGGTCGGAAAGAAGTCCACCCCCTCACGCTGACTGAAGCCTCTAGCCACGTAGCGCGCCTTGAACACAGGCGGCTCTCCAGGAGGGCGCTTCACCTTGAAGAGCCAGCGGACATCGACTACGTTCACCCCAGGTGGGGGAACTGTGTCGACGTAGGTGCCGGTGGATCTCCAAGATGCCATCTCCTGCTCCATGGCAGCTATCCACTGAGAGGCCCAAGGTCCCGAGACCGCCTCAGTGTAAGTGCGAGGGGTCGGGATGTCGAAAGCGTCTGGGTCACCCTCAGGGACTAGCAGCATGGAACAGAGATCGGGAGCAGCATCGGACAGGAAAGCAAGCTCGTACTGGCGGTCCTCCAAGTCGTCATTGCCGAGGGCAGGAGCACCCCCAACAGACAGTGGACAGGCAGGGTCAGAGACCAGAGCGGTGGCGTAATCAAGGCGGTGGGTAGAGGCGAAGTCAGCGACAGCAGCAACAAGATCGTCAAGACGCAAAACCGGAATTGACGGGTCGGTAACGAGAGAGGCAAGGATCCGAGGAACAAGAGGACGAGCGGCACGAAGGTAGTCAGACAGAGGGGGAGACGCAACAACAAGGGAGGATGGAGGAGGCGACAGCAGGAGGGGAGGACGAGACGCGTGGGAACGGAGCAACATAGGGTGAGAGCGCGGGACAGGGGAGACAGGGCGAGCACGGGAGGGAGGGCGAGACCAGACGTGAGACGTAGGCGTCGGGTCAGGAGACAGAGGAGGGGACACAGGAGGGGAACGAGGGGGAAGACGAGCCGGAGACGAGTCCAGGGGAGGGATCACAGGGCCGTAGATAGGAAGAGGAGGGGACGGCAGGAGAGGAACAGACGCAGGGTCAGGGGCCAGAAGGCTGAGCAGGCGAAGGGCTGACATCGGCGGTGACTGCGGGTGCGGTGGCACAACACCGACACCGGGGCCGCAAGCTGCTCCACGGCTACCTCCGGAACACTCCAATCCTGCACCCCCAGAAGGAACACCCCCAGAGCCCAAAACCCCTCGAGCACCGGTACCACCCCCGGGCTCGCCGGGATAAGCCACGACAGGAACCCCAAGGACTAGTACCCACCCCAACGCCAGCACCCCTAGAGTCTACGAACTGCTGCTGCGACGACTGCGGCAACGACTGCGGCGACGGCAGCTGCAACGACGGCTGCGGCGGCGTCGGCAGCGGTGACGGCAGCTGCGACAGCGGTGTCGACGGCGGCTGCGGAGGCGGCGGAGGAGGAGACACCTGGGGAGGGACAGGCGACGAGGACTTTGCCGCAGGACCACCAGAGTCAGCAGACTCCTCGACCGAGACAACCGACGTGAGGGGGGTGACGTGGGACACACCAGACGGTGCAGGACGGGGAGGGGGAGGGGGAGGGGCAGGGGCCTCCGGGGAAGGGGGGAACAGGAAGAGGGGGGGAGTAACCGGGGGACTTTGGTGGGGGAAGCGGCGGTAGAAGGAGACGGACTCGTCAAAGGTGACGTCGCGGGAGTGAAAGAACCGGTGAGACTACGGGTGGTAGAAGTGCCAGTCGGACGAGTCTAGGGGGAAACCGAGGAAGACACAGGAGAGGCACAAACGTGAGCAAGTCCGTGCCAGAGGCACAAACGTGAGCAAGGCAGCCCCAGAAGTGGAACGCAGATGCGTCACCAGGAGACCTGGTTCAGAGGAGGGTCGGCGAAACCTGCCGCTGCTGAGGGTGCTGCCACAGGTTAAGCTGGTGAGCGGCGTAGCGAACGACGAATGGCCACAGAAAATGGGGTGCACTGGCATGGATCACGGAGGTACGAGCCATCTCCATGACCAAACCGATGCGTTGCTCAGCGACCCCATTCTGCTGCGGGGATTCCGGCAAGGTGAACGTCTGGGTGATGCTCTCCGCACGACAGAAATGACCAGGAACGCCGGAGGCAAACTTGCCGCCACGGTCAGAGTGGATACGCAAGAAAGGGAGACCACGGTGGACACGCGCAGAGACAAGCCACGGGATGAGAACATCAGGCACGTCGGCCTTCCGCTCCAGGGGAAAGACGGTGGTGTAGCGGGTGTAGTCATCGACAAGCATTAGGAAGTAGCGCTCTCGACGCGGCCCATGGACGGGGGCGGGGCCCCAGACGTCCATGTGCAGGGTCTGCAGCAGTGCGGTGGTAGGGGTGAATGAGGAGGAGTGAGGGGCACGGCGGAGCCGACCCTGGACACAGGGCGTGCACGGTGGTGTTGGGGAGGAGGGCAACTCGGGGAACGACCCTGGGAGACCTAGGACTAGACCGTGCTGTGACATGTGACGCAGACGCGGGAGGGCAGGGTGACCTAGACGGTGGTGCCACAGTAGTGTCGGGAGTGAGCGACCGACAGGAGCAGGCAGCAGCAATCTGGGTAGACGCAGACACCTGAGGGGACATCCCAACCGGGGGGGTCGCGGTGTCCAGTGTGAACAGTCCAGACACCGGGTCCCGGGGGAACGTGGTGAGGGGAGCACCAGTGGCGGCCTCGGTACAGACAGCGTTCCGCTCGTGACCAGGGAACGTAGTGGTGACGCCAAGGTCCTGGAGGCAGCCAACATCAACTAGGTTCCTGGAGAACGAGGGGATGTGCAGGCCCGTAAGAGAGCCCGAAGGAACCGCCAGACAGGGAAGGGTGGTGGAACTGTGGGCGACTATCTGGCCGGAGGAACGGGCGCGACGGCACGAGGGGCCGGCTAGGAAGGGCGCGACGGCTCAAGGGGCCGGCTAGGACGGGCGCGACGGCGACGGGGGCCGGCTAGGACGGGCGTGACGGCTCAGGGGGGGGCCGGCTAGGACGGGCGCGACGGCGCTAGGGGCGCAAGGGGCCGGCTAGGGCCTAGGGCGGAAGCGCGGGCGGGCTAGATGGACCTAACCTACTCATGATACCATGTTAGAAAGAGAGGATGAACTAGAATGGGAGATTACAAGGGAATATAACCTAGAAGATGTACCCTCTAAGACACAAACCTATACAGTCTATACAAACATAACAATATATGTTTGACACTCCAAACCACCGCGCATGTGTTTCGTGGCCTTCCTTGAGGCTCTTTTTCTAGGCTAGCTGTGCTTGTATTTAGCCCTGTGCTTCATTTGTACTCGACACACTCTAATCACGACCTCACTATTGCATTACTCGACTCGATTCCTATCCGGAGATTATCATAACATTTGGTATCAGAGCTACGTTCCTGCCCATTTAGGCTTCCGTAGTGAGGTAGTTGTTAGAGGGACCTCGCACGTTAGGAGACAGGAGCTGTCCAGCGGTCGTGCAGGGAATTCTTCAGTTCCACCGACTTTGTCGTGTGCGCTCCACATCTCTCACGCTGCAGGT